CAGAAAAAACCTTCCACCGTCGGACGACCATTAGCGTTCGGAGCTGGAGCAAACAAAATAAAACTGATTATAAACTGTGCACGGAAGCTCATCTCCACCGAAAGTTTTCAGGTATCTGGCAAAGTAGCTATGGTCTTTCTGTAGATAGTTTCTCCTTTGTGCGCAGGCTTCTCCCCGCAGTTCATCTGTGTACCCTGTCGCACAGGCTGTCAACCAGAATGTTATCAGAAAACAATATCGCTCCCCGAAAAAGTATATTTAGCTCTTCTTACTTGATTGCCGATTAAACGTTATGCACCAGCTTGAGCACTACCAAGCTCAGTTTTCCACCGACACATTTGACGCTGTTCCGCTGTGTACACCGAGCAGATGGTCCCATTAAATTTCGTGTTCTCTGCCAATGATCTAATGTTCACTTGTTTTCAAGTCCATTGAAATGGCCGGGCATCCGGAGTGCTCGAGTAATGGCGTCGGAGTTTTTCCTGCGGCTGCAATGGAACCACCGCGGGAACCACCGCGGGAACGCAGCGGTTCACGTCTTTGAGAACGTGTGTTCACGAAGACGAAGTAGCAGCAAACAACGACGAAGCAGACGACAAAGCGATTCTAGAGCGATACGACGACAGGGACTGCTTTTCCGCGTTTGCTGACAAACCAAGGCATCACAAACAACACAATCTTACGAAGTACATGCAAGCACGAGAGTCCAAGCTGATAACGGGTCGTCCTAAACGACGATGTGCGCGCACCAAAGCCCTATAGGCAACCAGCAATGCTGTTTGGTACGGCGCTATCTAGCGACTGAAGCAAGAAACATTGGGTATGCCTGGGAGTGGCGGCTGTATTGTTCCAACGTGAGATATTACTCTGGTGGCGCCGCTTAGCCTATGTTTGAAGGAAGAAATACTGGGAAGGCCAGGAAGCCTTGATTGCATAACATGCAGTACGGCGGAAGCTACAGCCCTGGCGGGCCAATCGGAACGTGACAACGTATCACCGAAGTGCGCTTTTACTGCGAAGAAGTATCAAGCTTTTCGCTGCGTTATGCTCCGACATATGTGCGCTGCGCTCGTATATGTGGCGCATATCGAAGCCGTCGGCATGCAATGGGGGGCTATATCGTTCAACTTTCGCCAAGTTACAAGGAGACAGGGTATAACCGTGACCTCTCGCTCTGCTGGCGCCGACTGGCTGATGCCGGCTGGCTATACGTATGCAGCCGGGAAGTCGGGAACCGATGACTGCAAGTTGCATGGCGGCGACACCACTTCCGGAATGCGCGCGCTGCGCAATTCGGTTGGTGACATCGGTCTATTAGTTAACATTTGCGAAACGACAAACTTGTCTGCCGGTTTTGAAAACGGGCCTTTTGTAATGTTCATTGTTGGATTAGAAACACCGGATTTCAAACTACTCATCTCGATACAGCAATGTTTGTAGAACATTCTCCTCTTGGAGACCCAGTTTCGAGGATTCATTGGTAGGGAACTTGTAGAAACAAAGGGGAAGGGGAAAATAGGGAAGGTTACAAGTCATTCCAGCTTGCAAAAGTAATCAGGTTACTCGTGCGATTACTTCCTAATAAAAGTAATCAGACGATTACAAATTCAATTAAAGGTATTCGATTTCAAGTAATTTGATTACTTGTAATGAGTACTGCACAAATCAGGATGCGACCCCATCTTCGTCCCCCATATTCGCCGACATCTTTCATTATCAGACGAAAGAAAACGATTGCGAGAGGAGTATGTTTCATCAGAGGCAAGCAAAGGCAGCCCCCCAGCAGCCCTAGCCGCCACATGCATCTTCGAGGTGTTGAACCATCCAGTGCGTGCGGCGCCGTAGACATCAGGAGCTGACGCAAAAATGCAGCGTCGCCTCCGCTTACGTAATGTCGCCTTCGCTCAGCAGTGGGGCGATAAGCGAGCGGAACACCAGAAGCTTCCGTCCTGATAGACGCGGATACGACGGACGGAACAAGTCTGACCTCCGGTGCTGGGTGTAGTGTCCGGACGAGTCTGGAGCGGAGGTAGGTCTTGCAACCACAACAACAGATTTCTTTCCAAACACGTCGACCGGAGGTCTTGCAGAGTTCCGAACGCGAGGGCATACCGCCTTGCTCGCAAACTACGGTCAAACAGGCGAGGCCAACGTTTCTCGTCCTTCCGCTTAATACGGCTTAGATTTAATCACTGCTGGATCACTATATGTATGTATAAGTCGCGCGCACGTTTCTAGCCCCAAGCGTTAATTGTAACAGAAAAAGCAGAAAAAAAAATACATATCGATCAGCGCACTCCTCAACTCGGGGTCAGAACGAGCAATAAGTGTTCTGACAGGATTAAAACGGCTGAGAGGTATTCCAGTTATCCTGGCTCCGGTGCAAGCTTACATACATTTGACAATGCTTCAACGACTTGTGAGCCTCGAACGCGCATGCGCAGTCAAAGCACGGCTGAAGGGAACGGACGCGACGCCTGCTGAAAATCGGGCATCCCAAATGCCCGAGTCCCACGAGAGCGACGGACAGAAACAACTGACTCCGACAAGCCTCAAGCACGTGCAGTGCAGTGTGCACGCGAAAGTACGGTACCTTTGGCAGGCTTGCAGGTTCTCTGTGCTTGTGAAGTAAGCATGAGGGATCTCAAGCATGCCAAAGGCATACATTCGTGTGCACGCTGCACATGCCTCAGGCCATAGCCTCAGGCAATAATAGCCTCCTATAGACCTTTTCTGTGTACTCTCGTCCCTAGCCACCTAATAGGCGTATCCGGTCTGGGCGACGAAAAAATACTAAAACGTTTCAACCTGCAAATAGTAAAAACATAAAGTGGAGGCAAAACGAGAAAGTGTGACGGTTACGCTCATATTCTAAATGCCTTCCATTGGCGTGGAAAAGGCAAAACAATGTTTTCGCCCATACTGGAAGTGACGTCAATTCAAGATGGCGGCGCACTTGCAGAAAGGGTCTATATACCCCCAAAAGCCTGGCAGTTCGGCGACGGAGAGAGTACCCTGTTGTAGATTTGGAACGCGAGGATATGGTAGCGCAGAGCATTTCTCGGGGAACCTGGACGTCAGCGCACAGCTCTTGCAGCGGCGAAAACCCAAAACATAGTTTTCAAACCCGGCGAGAAAAGAAGCGGTAGCGCGAGCAACGCGAGGAGCACGAGCGGACATTCCATCGCTCAGGAAAAAGTGTGTTTCGGCGCCTCGCCGCAGCGGGGCGCCCGTCACGTGGCTCTCCTCTCATCCGTTGTCTGCCGCTTCACCTTTTCAATTTCAGCGGCCGCTTCTCGTGGCGATCTGCCAGGCTTTGCAAGTATAGAAGAGGTTATGCTCAGGCTCGTCGGTGTCGGTTGTTTCTGTCTGTCGCTCCAGTGGGACTCGAGCATCCGAGCCGCCCTGCCTTTCTCTTCCCGTTAGCTGTTCACCACAGCCACGTGCCTAAACTGACAAAGTCCAGATCGGGTGCTGCGCTTGGGACATGGTCAGAATTCGCCTATTTCCGTGACCGCGCTCTTCAATGACGAATGCGAGCCCCTGTATGCGCCGACGCATTGATTGTTAGCGTGCGCCAGCCAAACAGTGATGCCTATCTCGTGCGGACAACGTGAGCCGCAACAGACCCTTTTCAAAAATCCGCACCATTGCCTGTCCGCCATTGCGTGTCCACATACTCTGATCTTGTATTGGACACGAGTGTGACGTCATTGTTCGGCGAGTACTCGGATCCAATCACACGCTACGTGTCCGAGCAATGGCCACCGCCAATGTTGCTCGACTGACTTCTGAAAAGGGTCTATTGGCTATTTCGGTGGCTCCCTCTTATGGCTCCTGTTTATGATATCACGACCAAGGTGATCGATTCCAAGTGACCATTCCAGTGGTGCGTGTAAAAAGCACGGTGGAAGCTTGAGGTCACAGCGTCCTTAAACCGACACCACAAACGTTGACGGCTCTGACACTACTCCTAGTAATGGAAGTGGAATTTGTAGTATCAAGACGTCATAGCAAGCATTTGGCTAATCGTGGAAGGCCGGTGACAGCGTCGCTTTCGATCCCGCACATCGCCAATAGGTCGAGACGCGCACGGCACTACTTTGGGAACCGGGAGGACCACGAGAGAGGAGCAAGCATTTCTCCTAAGAGAAAAAGAAAATCCACTCACATTTCAAAACTCGTCCCATGAGATATCACATTACCGGTTCCTGGTCCTTATGAGCCAACTCTCTTATTTACCCCCACGCAATACACATAGCAGGGAGTTTTAGTAGACAGTAGGGAGTTTTCGTAGATCGTTTCCGCTGTCCCGCAACCCTCTCCGCAACCCGCTACGAGATCCGGGTCTCTTCAGTCAAGGCTAGCGGCGCGCAGGCGCAGGAGCGGCTTCTTCGTTGCGGAGGGCTTACCGGAGGGGGAAACGCCCTCCGCCCTCCGCAACGAAGAAACCGCCACTGCGCCTGCGTGCCGATGGCCTTCGCTGTTCCGGGTAGCGAAAGGGCTTAGCGGAGGGGGAAACGCAGCCTACTAAAATAACGGAAACTTCGTGGATAAAAGCAAGTACGAAGAAAATGTATATCTCCCTGGTAGTTTGATAGGAAATTGCTTTGTCACATCGTGTGCATTGATGTTCGAGCAATCAAGCGAGAGATTGCGCGGCGACCTAGCGTTTTCAATCCGAGCGTTCGTGTTTTTCTGTCTTCTACCTTTGGGGCAACGCGTAGAGATAAGGGAGTTTTCGTAGAGCGCGCTACCCCCTCCGCTAAGCGTTCCGCAACGAAGAAGTCGCTACTGCGCCTGCGCGCCGATAGCCTTGACTGTGGAGTTCCCGCTATCGTAGCGGATTGCGGAGGGCATTGCGGGACGGCGAAAACGATCTACGAAAACTCCCTATTGATGACCTGTGGCTGTTCGGACTGTTTCAGAAAGGGCTCTGCTACAGCTCTGCGGGGTGTGAGGCTGATAGATTTGGTTCATCGCGGCATGCATCCACTCACTCCGCGGCGTCCGTTCTCTTGGAATGCCTCGTGGCCTTCTCGGACTTGACGCTCGAGTAGAAGACGGGCTCCGGTGACGAGGACCTGCAACGAAAGAAGACGGGAGGTCTTATGCGGGGAGACTGTTCGATCGGAAACAAGGGCTTTCAGCAAAGTGCTGCGGTGGCGCTGCTACTAGCAGGGCGCAGCACTTTGCGCTTCTTTTATGACGGTTCAGTCGCATCGGTCGTGCAAAGACTGTCTGCATACAAATGTATGAAGCCAAGGCATGCTTCACGGATGCCTGGGGAGTGTCTGCGGATGCTTCTGTCATCGTGTCTGCAGACCGTGTCTTCTGTAGGACGTACGTGTGAGCAGTTCGACTTTAAGGGATGCAAAACCGAAATTTCGAGCTCATAACGGATGGCAGCATTTTTGGAAAAGATATGCGCGATTGAACATGGCCGACGAGGCCGGCGAGTCATGTGACGTCACTATTCTCATTCGCTCTCCTCCTCGCGTTGTCCCCTCTAGTAGGTGAACCGAAGCGCCGGGGGAGGGGAGCGAGGCCGCTTCCCCTCATTCTCAACTGTCCCACGAGGATCGTGACGTCATAGCCCTCGCTTGATCGCGCCTTTCTTTTCCACAAGTACGGCCATCCGTTTGAGATACCGATGTATGAATAATGTTTTGGACTTCGTAGGGGGCATCCCGTTCAACACTTCTCCGGCCTTATTTAACGAAGCCCAAATATCGGTTCAATATCCTTTTGTATTATTATTATACTTTTTCTTTTTAGCAAAGCGTTGCCGTATACGGAGCGGCATTGCTACCGGAAGCTCAAGATGCGCACCTTTGAAGCATGTTCTTCAGCGCGAGCAAAGAACGTTGCCGTGTCAACGATTCCCTCGGTAACGCTTTGCCAAAAAAAATGCTTACTAAAGACTGTGACGTGGAAAACGAAGTCCAAAGAAAATTAAAACCCAAGTTCTCTGCGAGGATTCACGGTATACCAAATTTTATTATTAAAACGTGTTCTGATATATTTACTCCCCTTTTGAAACATCTATTTAACCTATCTCTCATGAATGGTGTTTCCCCTGGTTTGTGGAATTCTTTTATAGTTCTGCCCATCTGCAAAGCTGGAGATCCGTCACTAGTGAATAACCATACCGTCCCGTTTCGTTATTGTGTGGTTCGACAAAGGTTTTCGAAATGATTATGCATAACCGGATCGTATAGTTATGTCAGTCAGAAAATTATTCGTGATAATTATTATTTTTTAAAGGGGAAAGTTTGTAGAAAAAAATTTGTGCTCTTTTCTGGATTTCTCTGAACCGAGAGTAACAAAAAGAGGGAAACTTACTGTAGAAAGTGTCACAACAACAACAACAAAAAAAAATTACAAAGTTTTTTTCACCGCAAAAATAAACTAGGCGTCGCCGAACGCTCATTCTCCGCCCAAAGGTAGCGCTAGAGGTCACAACCAGATGCCAAAGTTTCAGCCCGATTTGATAACTTAATCGAAATTTCAATGGGGAAATGCAGCCCATTTTTGCCTGTTTTCAGTTTCTGGTACTATAGAGCCCCATGTACTCGAAAACTCCATCGACCGCCATTTTCGCATTGAAATTTTCAGAAAATTACTCGTAACTTTTGATTAAGTTATCGGATCGGGCTGAAACTTTGACATCTGGTTGTGACGTCTAGCGCTACCTCTGGGCGGAGAATGAGCGCTCGGCAAAGCTAATTTATTTCTGCGGCAAAAAAAAACGTATTTTTTTTTTTTTTGTTGCACCCAGTGTAATTTTTTGACATGTCGAAGGCCTTTGACTGTTTCGATCATTCTCCACTCCTTTGCAAACTCCATTTTTATGGCCTGTGCCCTAAGCTGAGTGAATGGTTCAGGAGCTACTTGAGTTTACGCAGTAACACTGTTTGTGTGGAAAACTCATTTTTAAAGTGTTTTATATCGACTTCTGGTGTACCCCAGAGGTCGAACCTAAGACCACTGTTGTTTACTTTGTTTGTAACGTTATAGTATCATACGTCAAGTATTCCAACGTCTTTCTTTTCGCTGTCGACATCAAACCTTTTTTTTTTTTTTTTAATGTTAAGGACTATGCTGATTGTACTTTGTTGCAAACTGATATTGGTGCGATTTGCGAGTGGTGCAGTTTGTCGTTAAATCCAGAAAAAAACTAAATTAATTTCTTTATCGAGAAAACGGGACGTTTTCTTATTCCCTTATGTGCTTGAGGGCAATGCGAAAGATTCTGTATCTCTTGTAGGAGACATAGGCGTCTGCATTGATAATACTCTTTCATTTACTGCGCACGTATCTAAGATCGTTGGTTCAGCGATAAGAAAGTTGGGTGTGATCACTCGGTTATCGCGTCCTTTCACTTGACCATTATCTCTGGTGCGCATCTATTGCAGCCTGATACGCTCGGGACTTGAATTCGGTTCCATTAGTTTGAACTCACTATCTTTAACACAAGTTGAAATGATAGCAAAAGTGCGAAAGAAATTCATTCGATACATAGGTCGGAAACTGTCTTTTAGTTACGATTCGTTGCTATCGTTATTTAGGCTAGAAAGGCTATCAGCTATTAAAGGAATCCATTTAATTTCTTCATAAGGTAGTGCATGGTACTGTTAAAACTGAGAGCTTACTTGTGAGTATAATAGACTTTCATGTGCCCACCAGAACTATTCGCAATTGTTTAACATTTTACCCCAAGAGAATTCGTGAATCGTCACCGTTATCTCGTGTGCAGTCTGCTTTTAATACTTGATTTTGCTCTATTTATACCAGCCTTGCAAAAAGATGTATTTTATCTCACTCAGAGTTTGTGCAGGAGCTGCAATTGACCTTTTTCGGAGAATTTTGTGCGCATGCCCGAACTTGAGGAGAGAGTAGGAAAGGGAAAGGCGCCATTTTTGCGGGCTCTCCTCGTACGCTGCCTGGCTTCGCTCGCATTGCTAGGCGCGTCTGTCCGGCACTGTCGCGATGCCTCACCGCTACTCGGCTGTTGGATGTACAAACAGCAAGAAAAACACGCCGAACGTGAGCTTCTTTGGATTCCCGAAAGCTACCGCGCACCTCAAGAAGGAAGAAAAATGGATTCAAGCGCTGCGACGCCAGAACTACGACGGGACGTCTTGGCAGCCATCTGCGAACTCGCGTGTTTGCAGCGTCCACTTCATTGGAGGTTACTTCATTCGTGTTTGTTTGAACTCAGGATATACCCGTCATACTCCGTGCAGGCTAGTCATTCATAGAAAGGTTTTTGTTCCTGATTTTTACGACGCAGGGGTATCTTCACGAGACCAGAATCACCCAGACTTCGCTCCCTCCATGTTTACATAGAAGCCGACACCTGCCTCCGCACCGAGTTTGCTTGCACGGTACAGCAGGGCAGCGAAGAGGCGGGTCGCCAAGTCGTTGTCACGGAAAACAGATCTTTACATTGTCGCATAGTGTAAAGAGCAGGCCAGCTATGTGCTGGCATGTTCCGCTCAACCTGCAAAGTATATATTTACGCTTGAAACTCATTAAAATATTGAATAAAAAAATGTCCTACTACAGAATTTTATATCAACACGTCACCTAGTTCGATAAGTAGATCGATGACATACCTTGGCCCTTTTTAGTTGCATGCTGAAGTACCACGAAAAAGACGAAGACGACAAATCTTGTTTTTTTTTTAGATAACTTATCGCGTCACGCATAAAATATGATCAAAGAACTGGCACACACGGATCTTGATACAAATCTGCCGAAAGGATAGCGACTATGGGGCTCACGCCTTACAAATATTGACACATCTTGTAATCCTTAAGACACATTATTACATCGCCACGGGTTTTACCGAAGAAATAAACTCACACTGCAACGCAGTCGCAAGACGCTTGAACGATATCGGCGCTCTTGGAAAGCGATATCATTTGCCTGTAATGTCCCGGCTTCATAGACGGTGCACACGTGCTCCTTACAAGGTGAACGGTGTGGTCGGGATAAAAGTTGTTCACCATGACCTTCTTGACGTAGGCTTCTTTGAAGGCCCATTCTTTCCGGAGTTGTCTGCAGTCCTTCGCCAAGTACCGACCGACGTACGCTGTGTTGACGACCGGTACCAATGCAGCATCGGCACTCCATCCGTCTTGAAAAGCGTACAGACGGATAAAGTCCGAAGTGCCGAAGACGGTTGCTTTACTCGATCCTCCGGGATCGTCATCAGCCATTTGTAGAGAACGAAAGCCGGAAAACAGCGAGAAAAACTTTCCACAACGAACGCACCAAAACAATCGCGTCTAGGAAGCGAACGGGGTGACGGGAGGACGGACTGAGCCCGCAAACGTTTTGAATTATCTCCACGAGGGTGCGCCACGGTCGCTTCAACGAACTCTGAAAAAGGTCAATTGCTTCGCAAACTCGTACTCATATCCTTTCGGTAGTTTTATGCATTTTAAATAGTGTTGCTGTAAACACGAACTGGCAGTGCACCACAGAAAAGGCTGCATAGCTGTTTGTGGGCACCAAAATAAAGCATTATTATTAATATTGTTGTTACTATTATTATTATTATTAAAACGGTTCAGAAATAACAAAGAAAAAAAAAGCGGGGGGGGGGGGGGGGGGGGGGTACGAGAGAGGTATCGAACGATCTGCTAACTAAAGCTCTCTGCTATCTGGAATGCAAGTTAGTCTTCGTGTTTCGTCATGGAGGCTCAAACAAACACCAACATTTTCCTTTTTTTTTTTTCGCTCGAGGTTGAAATTGGAACAGTGAACAACTGTCAGCACTGCGTATTTATGTCTTTCAACGCCGTGGATGATCGTGATGGGCTCAACGAAGAGATCAAGGCCACTTCGGCTAACAAACATTTAAAGTTTTTTTTTTTTTGTTTTTTTACCTTTTTGCGTAATTTGCGTGCTGAGTCTCTCTTTCCATCTTAGGAACGACGTCAGGTTATTTTTTTTTCAGCTCCGTCCCAAGTCATTCTTCGCGAGCCCATTGTCGTGCCCTCCGGACCTCGCCCTTCTGCGATACAACAGCCGTCCCTTACGGGGGCAACGAAAGAGGGGGGCCGCGAAAAAACGTCCCCCCCCCCCTCCCCCCCCCCCCCCCCCCCCCCCCCTTCTGTCCCGTTGACCCCTCTCCCACCGGATGTGCGGCCCGCTCGCAGGGGGGCCGCGGTATGGCCGCAGGGCGCAAACACCGGCGAACCGCGACCGACTGGGGAGGAAGGAGGGACTTGGACATGGAACGCCACAAAATGTATTTGACAAATTCCCAAATCGAGTGGGTTTTCTTTTTTCTTTTTTGTCAGAATGAAGGTGCGCGGGCTTGGCACGGGCGAGAGCAAACACTCCTTCCCATTGAGTTGCGGTGACCTAGATTGAGCTCCCTAAACATCTCTTTTGTGCCCGTTGTGGCTTATCTTTCGCCCCCAAGTTCGAACAGATAAGCTTCTCTACTAATGAAGCCCTATCTTTGTTTCCTGGATTCTAAAATCCAGGAATCCTCCAACCAGATCTCCGAAGACAGGGGAGGGGAGCACTAGAGATACGAGAGGGACCGTGTTATTACGAAAGGCTCTATTTGCTTTCGCCGAGGTGGTTCTTGTTGGCGTAAAAGATATCGAAACCGTAACGTCCGCGAATATTTTGCGGGAAAACTTTTCACGATGGGGCCTCCATACGTGTCCATGGGGTACCATGATCCAGTATGCATGATGATGCATGCGGAATTATTTTACATTTCAAAACTATGTGCCGTTACCGTGCAGGAGCCTGCCAGATGTGTCACTCATTTTTTATCCGACAGTTGAAAAACACACACACACACACACACACACACACGCACACGCACACACACACACACACACACACACACACACACACACACACGCACGCACGCACAAACACACAAACAAACAAACAAACAAAAGAAAGAAAGAAACAGTCCGGGGATGAACTCACCCGAAGCGATGAACAGGCATTGATGAAAATTTTGAAGCCTCCGAAGAGGCTGCAAAATGAAAGTGAAAGTTGGTGAAAGCCTCACATTTTTGCCGAAAATATGAGACTTTCACCGAAAATGACTGACTCGGCCTTGAGTTTACAGTAAAGTCACACAACTTGGCTCTTGAAGCCCAGACGTACCGACATACCTTGAAGCCAACGACGTAGGGGGGCTTAGAAGTTAGAACAATAAACCGGTATCCCGTTCACCAGGCAAAAGTCACCCCACTTGGCTGCCTCCATGGTACATAATCCTGAGTCTTTTACGGAAAACTGAGCCGTGATTTGTATCGTGATCGCTATAAAAAGTACATGATAAACTACGTTTTTTTTTTTCAATACTGTTCCAATAGCCCAATTTCCAATAGCAGTACTGTTCAATAGCCCCAGAGATCAGTGTCTAGCTCCGATAAAAACCCAAAATAAGCACCGCGACTGAGGGCATCTAGCCGAGGCATTGCGAAGCTGCTCGAGTTTTTGTCGTGAAAGCACACTTTGGACTTAAAACAAACGAAACATAACTTATCTCGTCGGTACTGTTATTAAAGATCAATAATCAATTAATTTGTGCGGGGTACTTCGTTCAAATCTAGACGTAAAACTATAAGGTCACGTGACTAGTGGACAAAAATGTGCGACATGCGGGCGACCAATTGGGGGTCACTTTCAGCTGCCAGTTTAAAGCTCTAAGGCCTTCTACCTCGTTGTTTGAAGCGCCGATTGCATGGCGGTGCAGGTGTTTGGAAGCGAATGGCGGCATGCAGAAGCAGAATGGACTGGAAGACGCCATTTTGTTTTCGTTAAATGTGCGTCGTCACGCGTGTTGCTTGTCGTTACTTGTAAAAGAGAGTACGAGGGACTTCTTAACTTTACTACAGTCGGTGACAGGTTAGGAGTAAACTGCAACTTCCTTTACCTCTTTTCCACTTTAGCAGAGCAAACGCTGGAGAGGAGGTCGCCTCCTCTCCAGCCTTCACTATGGTAGGGTGGAAAGAGGTGGGAGGAGCTTCCACTTCCTTCGTGACCTGTCACCGACTCTAGCTTGAAATACCGCATCAAGCCACGATCTCAAGCGACGGAATGGGAAACGATCTCATGAAGGAACACATCGCCTTGCCAGGTACGACTCGTACGAGGGCTCAAGGTCAAGGATCAAAATCTTCAGTTCTGTTCGGTAAACGGTCCACGAACGAAAGCGACACATACCGTCTTGACTCTCAAGCCAGAAAGATGTTAAAGATTTTATTTTGGAACAACGGTGTGGACGAGAAGAAAAGACGCTTGGACGATGACAATCTATTCGCCAAGAAACTGGGCAGAGGACGAGGTGAGAGCGTGTGGGGTCGTCAGAATTTAGTTTCCGAAGAAGTGAAGAAAGGGACGGGTTCCGGAAGAAATGCCAACGGAAAAAACGACACCGGAAAAAATGTCACCGAAACCAGAGGCAGGAACAAAATGTCCCGAAAGGGTTATTGCCCAGGATCGAGTCCCAAGAAGAGGTGCACGTCCACACTCGTCGAAATCGGCAACGCCGTCTTCACAGCCTCTGCGAAAGGTACGCCGCTGGGACAATCGGAATTAATGATTTCTTCGTCGGACATTGCATCTCAGCTGTCTCTTTTTTTTTTCTTTTTTTGTTGTGAAATAAACACTTATAACACTTCTAACCAACACCAAATTGATGCGTTTGGGAAAATTTGAGAGGTACTTGTGTACCATTTCCAAAATGGGTAAAGAGCGCGAGACTTTAGCACAAACAAGCAATCGTTAGTTTTTTTTTTTTTTTTTTTTCGCATTGAAACGAAAGGTTGTTATGAAAGTTATTATAGGTACTGAAAGTGCTCATTTGGGGATATAATGCAGACGGTAAAATTTCGTTGGCACTAATACTCTTTTTAAGTATTTAAAAGTAAACATTTGACAGAGATCTGTCTGGTTGGGAGTAATTAATAATAAAAAATTCGAACACGAAGAAGACCAGACACACGCCGTAGAAGAAAAAGAAAAGGACACTGCTCCTCAACGGCCATAGCCGTAGTCGCCCCTGAAGAAGAGGCCGAATTGGCCTTGAAACGTTGGGTCCCTACAGAAGGGCTTGGTTGGTGTTCGAATTTTTTATTATCTTTTTAAGTAAAATGTCAGAATGCGCCGATGTCGTGTTCGCGCTAACAGTGTCGCGATGTGTACCCCAAGGAATCGTATATTTCAATATTTGTTGGGGGCCGTTTTTTCCTACTTGCCACAGGGTGCCTTTTTTCCCGATGACATGTGACCGGACCGCCCGAAGGCCATGAGGATCAGGGAAACCCAGAGATAGAGAATCCTTTGGGAACATTTTTTTTTTTTCTACTTCCCCCCTAGGGCCCTTTTTTTTCCAGGGGCATTTTGTCCGGGGACGTTTTCCGGGGACATCTTCCCATGGTCCTCTGAATACGCTTCTTGAGACCCGAATAACGCTGCGTCGTTGTCGGCGCGGAAGTCCGGGCCGACTTGTTAGAAACAGTGTTGGCTAAGGCTGCGTGAAAGAAGGCACTGCCAAAGTTAGCGCACGAGCAGGACGCGAAGTCGAGTCTCAAGCGCTCGCGCGCCCCAGGCTCGGCAGGCTTTCGACGACAGCGTCTCAGCTGAGACGCCATTCATAGGAAGCCGGCCCAGCTTTTCTTCCGGAGCGATCCGCGCTCGCGGTGGGAACTGGGGAAGCACTGCGTCGACTCCGGTTCCAAGCACCATGCAACGGCACGAAGCCACGCAGCCGCCAGCTGCGGCGGAGCGGTGACGGCTCGGAAAGCAAAGGCCTCGCCGGCGGCGTGCAGCTGGGAGCGCCGACGGCGGCGGCAGCAACAGCGGCCGCGCAGCAACCCAGGTTGGCCCCCGGCCCCCGGGCACCGTACGCGACGACGTACCCTCATCGACCGGAACGCCGAGACCGGGGCGGACCTGAGGGGGGAGCGGCGGAGTGGGCAACCCTCCCCCTCGACCGCCGACCGACACGAACCGAACACACCCTCCCTCTCGCGTGTCGCTCGCCGGACGTCGACGGCCTCCCCGAGTGCTGCGCCTTCGCGGGCGACTCCCACCAACCAAGACTCCGCCGCCGGCGCGTGCTTTCTCAGCTCCTGCCCGGTCTCAACGGACTAGACGCAACTTTGGAATCCAGCGACGCGCACGAGCCCGAACTCACCGGTCGTCCATGAGGTCCTGCTCGGCGTGATGGCCGTTGGACGGGGCTCCCCTTGACGTCTTGGCGGAGGACGACGTGAACGCCATGTTGCGGGTCTCCGGCGTAGTTGCGGCGGCGTCCGCCAGGGCCGAGGCGCTTCGGACGACGACGCGCCGACGCGCCCTCTCCCCTCGCCGGCGACCGCTGCGGTGGGGTCGGTCCTCCCGAGGCCGCCCCCGATGTCCTCCCTTCCCCGGCGGGGGGACAGATGCCCGTCTGGACAACACCTGCGCCAACCCCGGCGCCGCCATGTTGAGAGCGGTCGCGGTCCAGCTCGCGTCGGCTCGCCGTCGGAGCGCGCTGCTGCGTTTTCGCGGCCGGCGCGACCGCGTCCTGCTGGGGGACGCGGCCTTGGCGGCGGCTGCCGCGGGACGCGCGCTGGCTTTTTCCGTCCGCCGACCGCGCGGACTTGGAGATGTTCGTTTCCTGTGGGGCTCGGCGCAAGGCGCGGCGACGTCTTCGGGCCTTCGTGCCGTCCTGCTTGTTACGTTTCTTCTTCGCGCCATCCAGAAGTCTGGAAGCGCCAGCTGATTACCATACGGAGTGTTTTCTCACCGATGACCTATCGTACGTGAAATATTACGTTGGAAGACATTTGATGTCCAACTCGCGAGCACAATCATCGTTTGTTACATACGGATGCCATCTATACACTGACGCCGCGAGAACGGCAGGGCGTGTCTTTCGAACGCCTGGCGTCCAATACGCCCCCCAGCCTTCGGCCGTGCTTTGACTGCGCGCGTGCTCGGTGTGTCCGAGACGCCGAAGTGTTGTCGAAGGTAGACTCGCACTAGAGGCTGGACATCTGAGGCTCCTCCCTATCGTTCTCACTCTGTCAGTGACTATAGATGTAAATTCGAAAATACTATAGACTTTGCTCAGTGTGATGGGGGCTACGCGGTCGCCCGACCCACCGTCTGCCCCGCTCTCATCACCTGACGGCGCTCTATGCACGCGGGTATTAGAGCCCCTCTATCCTGGGAAGAGTGGCGCCACTCATTGTTGTATATAGAAATGCTGGAGGCACGTACAGCGCGCCACTTCTGGGAAATTCATGGCGTCTGACATCTAGCTCAGAGCTGCGATGTGCCGCCATGATCTTCCCAAGGGCTGCACGTTGCACGTGCCTCTTGCATCGACGAATTTCGCGCTACTTTCGAAACATAAAGGGGCTTTAGCGGGTATGGGCGGGAGCGCGATCACGTGGCAAAGGACAGGCGTGTGGGGTTTGGGTTACGAGCACGTAGCTTACATTGCACCGAAGGTGTTACTATTCCCGACCTTATATGGTGAAAACAACATCATTATACACCAACACGCGACCCTGACGTCGCGCCGTTGAGGTGTGAGAGAGCAGGAAAGGGGAAGGGGGGGGGGGGGTTCCTCGTTCATAAACAAAGCGTGCACAGACTGCATCGCGATTTTCGTCTGCGGACTGTGTACCACGTGACCGGGACGTCACCGATTCCTGCGATCAGCGCCTCGTCCGCGGACGCGCGGACTGATAAAGTCGAGCGCCTCGATCACTCGCAGATTTTCGGCGGGAGATTGACTTGAAAAGCGGTTAGTCTGGCAACGGTACACTGTTTTTGTTACAGCGGACTCCGGAGCTGTTTAGGGCTAGTTTCCCCAGGATCGTGTCCTCCGCAAAGAAATGAAGACAACGAACTCTAGACACCTACCGCCATCTATGAGCGACGGCGGCAAGCCACGTAGCTGGTTGCCGCCGTCGCTCATAGATGGCGGCAGCCTTTCCACTCTGGCTTGCCGACTTGCGGCCGGCCATTACTTTCAATTGTACAGCTCAGCTGGTCTTAAACCAAAACTGGCACATCGTTGTGTTTTGTGCGTTCGCTGGTTCATTTCGTCGCGCGATTCTTTGTTCCAGGCGTGAAAGAAACTGCAGAAACTTCGTCCGGCTGACGTGACGCAGGTTCCGGTACTCCTCCGGGTCCGTGTCAAGAAGCTTCCGCCAAAACTCGTCTGGCACGCCGAGATAATTCTTGCATGTCAAATCTGGCTTTCACCGAGCAAGACCTGTCGCGTGGCTGTGGTGTGCTTGAGTGCTGTGCACGAGCGCGGAGTGCTTGAAGGCGTCTCCAAACGACCCTCCGTGAGCCCAGAACTTCGTCGCTTCTACGCCGAACCCTTCTCGAGCAGGACCATGCCTGCGTCACTCTCGTGCCTTGAATTAGTAAAGCTAAAGCCCTTTCATGTTTCACAAGTAGCGCAATGTCCGTCGATGCAAGACGCAGGTGCAACCTCCAGCTATTGGGAAGATCATGGCGGCACAACGCAGCACTGAGCTATATTTCAGACACCATGTTCTTCCTAAAAGTGGCGCGCGGCACGTGTCTCGAGCATTTCGACAACAATAATTGACGCCATTTTTCTTAAGATAGAGGTGCTTCAAGTAAAGCTAGTGGCGCTTGGCGCGAAGCCTATCACTTTGTTTTGTCTCGACCAAGAGCGGCGTATGATTCTTTATCGCGGTAGCAAACGTCGATTTCTCTCTTGGGCAGCGGTGCCATGGTGCGATGCTGGAGTTTCGCGGGACTGTGGGGGTGGCGAGCAGGTTCGGTCCGTCCTCGCCGGTGTCTGATCGTCGTCTCCCTCGTGTGGATGCGCTTGAAGGAGTATCCACACGAAGGAGAACTCCCGGGGATTTCTCCACGGCACGCGCATCCAGCGACGAAAACGTCAGGCTTTGCGATGTGTAAAAGCCTCGCGTTTTAATAGTCTCGTGATGCGCGCGCGCCGGGGAGAAATCCCCGGGATCATCTCCCTCGTGTGAATACCCCTTGAGAGACGGATGAACCGCGGATATGTTGTCACATGATCAATCCGTCCGCGGATCAGTCCGTAGTGTGAATCAGACAATAGGAGATGGCTGGAAGTGAGCATGGAAAGTCGTTCACTCTGATCCGATAGTAAAACTTCCCTATTTGCTGAAGGTTATCGTTTAACACACAGCGTGTCTTACCAACCAAATTCCACGAAAAAAAAAAAAAAAAAACGCCACGAAGAACCGTTACGACAGAAGGTCATGATGGGCATTCACGTCAGATTCCCCGCTGAATTTAGCGGGAACATTAATGTCACGTGATGTCAATTTTTCCGCTAAATTTTCCGGGGAAGTGGAAGTAACGTGACCAAGTCATGTGACTTCAGGTCAGGTAACGTTAATTTCTTGGAGGCGGTTTTGCGAGGGGGTAGTTTGCACTCGGCATATTTCGTGCTGCCCGCGGTCTTTATCGGCCTAACGAAGCTCGTATATATCTTATTAAAGCTGTAGCTGTATCTATAGGGTCCACCAACCTCAGGTGCAGCGTAAGCACGAAGGTGTAGGTCGGTCAGGCAATAATCACTAAACCCCCCCCCCCCCCAATCTTAAAAAAAAAAAAAAAAAAAAAAAAAAACCCAAAACGGTTTTCGGCTTTACCGGCGTGGAACCAGAGTGCGCTGCTGACTGAGCTACGGACCCAGCAAGCAGGAACGGGAGGAGCAGAAGCAGGTAATAGAGAGTTTTAGTAGATCGTTTTGGCTCTCCCGCTACGCTATACGCTAGAGTGACGACGATACTGCGCATGCGCGCTGCTAGCGGAAACATTGCGGAGCTACGGAGGCTAGCGGAGGCGCGCTAGCGGGCGAAAATAGCGAGGGGCGTAGCGCGGCGTGCTAGCGTAGCTCTCGCGAGAACGAGTCTTGGCGAGATGAGGGAGTCCCAGCGAGGGACGCTGTTCAAGATGGCCGCCACGCCGCGTCTACTCGGTCTGTGCGTTTCGCGATCGTGGTTCTAAGGGGTGGATTATACCTTGCTGCTGCGAGAAGTACCCGCGACAAAGCCGTTCCACGACTGCAACAGGTAGCGATTCATGGCGGATATACTAAACGCGGCCACGGAAAGGAGAACAAAAAAAAAAAAAGAAAAAGCTTCGCAGTTTTTGGTGCTGTGAGCGAAAGGTGCAGCCCCCTGCTCGGCTGCTTTGTCGTGAAGACAAAACCGACTAAGGAAGCGGAGCGAGCAGGCGGATATGAGGGATTTCTGTAGCGCTTCATTTTCGGTGAACGACGCAACAGATGAGCTACAGTGGTTGTCCTTTATTTTTGAAGATTTTTCTCGGTGGCTTTGGCACTTGACTCATATCGGATTGGCTTGGACAGCTTGGCCGACAGTTAAATATAATAGTCACCTACTTACAAAAGAAGCAACGATTAGCACGTTATTCAATAAAGAAAACAATATTTTATTAAGATAACGACGTTAATAAAAACAATTGCGAAGGATTGCTTTACAAATCTGTTTTACGCGAGCCCTAGTGTCCGAAAGAGCCGCTAGTGGCGTTGCGTTAGCTCTCGTAACGTTGTAATCCGTAGCGGGTTGCGAACGTTCTACTAAAACTTAAAATGGTAGTTCCGCTACGCTACATATAGTGGAGGTCGTAGCGGCCAGCGGATAGCACAGCGGGAGTGACTGAACGATCTACTAAAACACTCTAATGTGAGAAAACGCGCAGAGCGTAGATGCGTAGAAAGAGCAAGAAAGAGAGGAGCCGGAACAGGTGGTGTAAAAAAAGCGCGCGAAACGCGCGCTTCTTTTTTTTTTTTTGGTGACCCAGAAACTTCTGCACAAAGGCTTTGTATCCGGGTGGTGGTGAAGGGAAGCAAGCACAGCGACACAAAGAGAAAATCCTGTGACGTAATCTGTTTCCATACAAATCCCTGCCGTAAGCACCTAGTGAACTAAGGGTACCACCCACCCCAGGAACTGAAAGACTATAGATATCCTGCCCTAGGGCATCACCCGAATTAAGAGAACCGCATTTAAACGCGTTTGGCAGAATTACAAAACATGCGGCCAATTTTTCTAACACTTATACCAGAATGGCGGCTACTTAATAGTCAATCAGCTTACGGGCGTAGCTTATACCATATGCGTAAACTCAGAATCACACTGCTTATTCGCGACTCCAGCGAAACGGACGCCGCCAAGCGGGAAAACCGGGAACCAGCCGGTCCAGGTCGCTCCGCGCCCCGCCGCGTCTCTGGTGGCTTTCGCGGACGCGTGCTGTCGGCGCGGCGGCGAGCAATGTTTTTGATGAAGGTCCGAAAATTTCTTAAGTTTGCCTGAGTGTTCATTAGTGTGGTGAAGCCTCAGTAGATTGTTCCTTTCCATCACGTGTTTGAAAGCCCGTTTATTCCACAACACACGATCGCGTGCTTTCAATTTTTTGGATGGGGAGGAATCACGGAAAAACGTTTTGATTTCTCGTCTGTCTCTAATCACAATCAGAGTGATGACTGCTTGGTAACTGATAAGCGGTTTCTTTATAAGGATGTAGAACAGTAGACTGAGGTAGACAGACGAAGTATTTTACTGGAGGGGACACCAATGTTGCAGTCAAGTGAATGGGAA